AAAAAAACAACAGTAAATCAAGATCTCCTATGAAACTCTCTACATGGGCTTGAATGGACAGTTTACAATATGCAAACTGAGGCATTCCCAACAAACTCAGATAGAAAAAAAATTTATTGGTAGTCCAGGCTAATGCTTCAACAAATATATGGGAAAAGACAACATTCATAAACAACAAAACCTATTTTATCCCATATCAGCTAGTATGTGATTCTACTAGTAATAATACTTATCTTCAATCAGATAGCATAAAGCAGCTATTAGAAGTAGTCCTGTCACAGATACACCTTCTCCCACAGCTTAATCAACATAATAATTTAAGAAAAAAGAAACTTATACTTCTACTAGGAAACCCTACAGACTGGTAGACAAATACATTTCAGTAAACAGTGACTCTACCACCTTTCAGAACAGTCAAAGTAGAGATTCAAGTGAAAGATTGGGATATCATACTAATAGAAAAAACTATATAAACAAAAGAATACAAAGATAAACTTATGAGTATCTTGAGATATAACAAAAGGAATATGGCTAATCAACTTACATTCTACATAGATAGTTCTTATAAAAAAGAGATTATAGATAGTGAATCTGAATTAGGTTTAGCTTGAATCATGATAGAGGAAAACAAAATAGTTAAACAAACAGTTCTCAGCAGGAGCATTCACATGCCATCAGCAACTAGGGCTGAAATACTAGCTATTCTTACTGCACTGTATACAGCTTTCCAAAATATAACAGTTACAATTTATACTGACTGCAATACTGCAGTTAAAGTATGGAACTCTATTTGCTTACAAGTAGAGACATCTACAAGAAGATGAACAAAGAAAGATTACTAACTGGCCACTTTGGAATAAGATCAAGGATCTAGTAAAGAAGAAAGATCTAAATCTGGAAATTTTAAAGGTCAAAGCCCACAGAACTAACAGATTCAACAATCAAGTAGACTTACTTGCCAAATAAGAACCCAATAACTTGGCATCAGCTACCAGAGCTAGGAAGAGTCCTCACAATAGCAGCATGGAAAGAATGTACAATAGAAATTGATATTAGAGATTTTATTAAAATGTTTAATAAAAAAAGATTGGACTAGACTGGACAATACAGAAATGAATCCAGGATCTTTGGATGCAAAATGACAAAATTATAGACTGTCCAACCTTTTAGAATCAGTTCAATCCAACCAACACCTTCAATACTTCTTTCAAAACCAATAAAAACAAAAGCTTCTTAACTAACTTAACTTACAATAAACTTTCAATTCTATAGATACCTAAGAAGAGAAAATCAGAAGTGTATATTATAACAACTTTCCTAGTATACAAACTTCAAGAAGAGACATTAGAGCATCTTTTTTAATGCCCAGCCACTAGAGAAATTCAGAAAAACTTATGGCAGAAGACAAACAAAAAGATCAATAAACTTATCAATAAAGAAATTAAACATAAGAAAGAAGTTCAACCTTAAATAAGGGACTGGATAAACAAATTGTTAAAAGAGATTCAGGAATTTGACAGGGGCCTTTTTAACATTATCTGTGGATATATAGAATAAAGCAAGACCACCTCCTTGAAGAAGTATCTCAAAGAGCAGCTTAAGATCCCACCAGCAAACATACAGGATATAATCAATAAACTCTGTCAAAAGATGAGAGCAAATTTTAAAAAGGAGATCTGGAATATGCATTGTACCAAAGTTATAGAATGGGAAAGGAAACAAAATATTAAAGAAGAGGATAAAAAAAATAAGAGACCCAAGCTCAAACCTGATAAACAGATTGAATAGGATCAAAAAGAATTGCCATTATCTTCAGAAGATTTGAATCTGAAGGATATCAATAAAGAAGTATATGGTGATTATTAAGGATTGGGTTTATCACAGAATAAGTGATTCAGTTTTTAACTGTGATAGAACTTAGAATGATCTACAGTAATGACCTATAGGCAATAATTTTATTAATTAGAGGAATTATCCAAATTAGTAAAAGAGCGAAATATCATTTCCTAGGTTGTATTTAGAGAAATAACTTTTTGACAACAAGTGAGTCAGTATGTGAAAGTCATAATATTTCAGAAATATCTAGTATATATACAATAAAGACATGTCATGCTGATCTGACTGTGGGTTAAAAAAAATATATATATATATTTATTTATATAAAGACTAGTTATTAAAAATAGTTGACATAAGGTTTCTAAAGAGGAAGTCAAGAATAAAAATCAAATATACCTCATTAGAAAACATTAAAAATTTTAAATTAATAACTATAAAAAAACTATTTTAGTTGTTCTTTATTATTAAAACTATTGATTTATAGTATTTTTTAACTTTTGTTCCTATTAAAGTAAAGAACTATGAATTTGTCTCTCAAAAAGAGATATAAGTGATCTATAAAATTTTATATACTAAATACTTTAGGGATCCATCATTACTCAAGGTTTTATTTATTGAATTTTCTTATTCTTGAAATTATATATGTATTTCTAATAAACCTTCTAGTTAAATTAAATCATTCAAAATCTTTTAAATATATTTATATTGCTTCTACTATTCTTAAAAATTTTTCTTAAAGTTTCATTTTCAAGAATGGTTAAATTTCTCAAATGTTATGAAACTTAAAAGATATTTAAATTAGTCAAACTCTTATTAAGGGAAAAATATAAAATGAAGCAAAAATATTTTAGAGGGCTTTGAGTTATAGTTTTTTTTTTCTAGTACTATACTTTTTGTTTTCAGAATAATTAATAATAATAAATTATTGATAATAATCTTAATATATCAGAGGTTTTAATATCAAATTATTAATAAAGTGTAATATTGTTTTTTGAATTTAACTTAAAGTACTTAATTAAGATTTAGTTTTATTTAATTTGAATTGGCTTGATAAACTTTTATATATATTTTTAGTAGTATAATTCTTCAACTAATAATATACAATAATAAATTAGTTACTATATAAATAATTTGTAAGCTATTTTAATATTTTTTAATATTTCAATAAAGATATGCCATGATAGTATAATTGTAGGTTAAAAAACAAAAAACAAGTTATATTACTTTAATTATAGATAAGTAATTCAAGTATTGCTGTATTATTTTATAATAAAATAAGTTTAATTGTTAAAACTATATTTATTATTGATTTTTTTTTTTTTTATAAAGTAATCGATTTTTTTTAATTTATACGGTTTATCATCAAGCAAGATGGCCCCCTTTTTATATTTTCAGTTGTCACCACGCCGAATTCGTGTTCTTGCAAAGCATCGGAAAAACTAACCAATGAACATTTGATACCCTTCCTAGAGATACTCTCAAAATGTTTCTGAACTGAAGACAGACTTTCCAAGGTGCAGCGCTCCTAATTACGAGTATCCCATGGATATGATCCACGGTTGGGAAACTTGGAAATTTTTTAATTTGTTCGACCAAAATGTACTGATCCGAGCGCGTTGTCCAAAATTCATATTCTGGCGATGTTTGTTAAAACAGCTCCAATAAACACCAGCAACTGTCCGTCCGTTAACAATCAGAAATAAACTCTCCAATTTTTTCGCTAAGTTGAATCAATCGCTCTTGGCTATTGCCTCCCTCCGCTTCCCTCCGGGTACTTTTACAAAATAACAGCATATCGACTTCATCATAATGATCTTTGGTTCAATGAGAAAACGGGCATTAGAGGCACCAACTAGCGCGAGCTCAGGATACTCGAGTCTAATAATGGTTTGACCATAAGTGTGGGTCACCAGGTGCAATCTCTATTCCGTTGGTATATTATTGCTGTGCGGTCTCGAATTCGCCATTAGAAAACGCTTTGTTGCCTGCTTCACGATAATCCATTATCTGAATGCATGCAATAATTTAAATCGTGCTGACCCTAATATGGATACTTTGCAGCATTACACAAGTTCCCATTTTCTATTACGTATAAGGCCACGTGTCATGAGTCCAATTTATTGAAGTGAAAGAGTGCTTCTGGCATCAAGGATCATGGATAATTAATTATAAAAGCACTTTAGAAATATACTGTATTTTTGTCATTATTTCTGAGTGCCTATTTTAATATTTTATAAATTCAGTTTTTTTAACAGAAATAATTTGTCTTTAAAAACAATTATATCAAAATATTCTTAAGTCGCCTCACTTTAATTTTGTATTGCAAGAAAAATAATTCTCCCACTGTATGTTATAGAAAGCCTGTTAGATCAATCACTGGTCGTTCTCCACGGTTTCATTTTATATACTTTGACGACAACCTTTTTTAATTGTAAGGTATCGAGCAATATTTATTGGCGAATATGACTTAATATAATTACCATTAAAATCTTATAAACAATATTAATTCTTACCTTTACTCTCAAAACTCATAAATCAAAATAACGAATATAAAATATATTTGGTTTTTGCATTTTGCAATATATATATAGTACTCTGTGTATTTCTATCATATTTTGTT